ACTGCTGCGGACATTATCAAACGTAATGAGGCATTGAATAAAGTGCTCGATTCGTCCTCAGCAGCGATTAACATAAAGAAAAGTCCGATCGAATGAAATGCACTGCGGAACATTGTCAACCACCTTCAAACAAACGTCAAGATTTCCGCTTGAAATACAGTTGCATAGGCTCTTCCTAGGGCCTGCTTTTAATATTTCCTTCTCCCGGAGGATCCAATTCTCTCTACTCGAAAAAAGTACTGTGTAAGGCAGTTTGCAGTTCACAGTTTAAGGCATAAGGCAGTTTAAGGCATAAGGCAATCAGCATACTACTGTACTCTGCAATATATTGATTTGTTCATTTAGATATGTGCACAAATCTATATGCAGTCCATCTAGCATAGGTAGAGCTAGGAGGATATTCATGACCACTTACGATGTGGTATTGACGGCACCATAGATGGCCAGGCAAGCCTGCCTCTGTAAGCCACAGAGGTTCGACTGAGCCGTTTTCTGCAAAGCCTTCGGCCGCCAGGAAATTGCTCTGACAATGGTCACATGAATTCAATGGATTTGTTTGGGACCTAAACCCCAAGTTTTATCACAAATAGTTCGACAGGTCCACAGGAACAGTCTGGATTTGTGTAAAACTTTTTCCTAGTGAGCGTCCCGGGTAAGTTTTTTTATCAAGGACTAGTACAGAGAACCAGTTGTAACAAAACATATCATCATAATTGGTTTTTTCAAATTGACACACTGTATAACGATTTTCTCAATAAATTCAAAGCTGCAACGAACAATTTTTGCGTTAGTTCTAGTCGAGTCGTTTCAGCTAACGCCTTCTGTAATATGTTCGATTACAAGTGAAGTATTTAATGCGTTCGTATGTGTTCATCCAGTGGAATTGATAGAATTTTCGAAGGAGGCAAGGGAGCAATACAGGCAGACGGGAACCGTAACGTGTTGCAATTTCTGCGACCGAAGTTAGACGTGTGGTGCATAGAGATGGCTGAGATGGGATCACGTAATCTATTTGCGGTGGATCGGGTCGTAGGAAAAGTGACGTGAACTGTTTGGGCAATGGCTTCGTGTCGCACCGGCAAAACAGATTAATAATACATGCGATCAACTGAACTCGGAAGATTTTTCCGGTAAGAACTCCCAAGACAGACATGGAGTTTTGGCGAACGCCACTACGAATGCAAAACGTCGCTTTCTACGTTTGAATGTACCATGAAGTACGATTGTCTGTACTGATGAATAAAATCCATTTATTCAATGAGTGACTGTCCGATAATCATTGAGTTTGTTGACTTCCTGAAGTATTAACATTCACCGAGGTTACGGAATGCTGAGCTTCGCCTTTCTAGCTACCTGCCTAAATTGAATATATGGTAACTGGTCTCATTTCAAGAGGAGGGAGTGTACTGCAAGTGTATGTTTTATGTGTGTAGTGTAGGAGCAAGAAATGTATGTTTGTTCAATATACCAAAAACGTTGTTGAAGTGGTGAAGGAAGTTTGGACCTCTCAGGTTGTTACTGCGAATTGGTTAGTGCTCAGTGGGTAATTGAAGCTACCGTGATAATCTATATAAAAAGTGTATTAGGCACGATGAGGGGAAGCCAGAGTTGTGACAGAACCAATATATTTTTCATCTATGAGCAACTAAGCATGGTACTATGAGCAACAGGCATCTTTTTTGAAGTAAAAGGAAAAGACCATAGCAGCACATTAGTAGCGCAAACATATTGAATGAAATAAGAGAAAAACTTCATGTGAAGAAGTCTAAACAAACAATTTTCCCGTCTATATAAGAAAGATGAATATAAATGCCGCCTACAAAGTATTTGACAAGGTGATAATATCGAAATGATTCAACATGTAATTACTATAATCAATATTCCATTTGAAGAAGCTGAATAAAGGGTTATAAATGTCGTCTAATTTAGATATCAGGGCGATAGTTTTAAGCCCCACGTTGGGCGCCGCAAAATACTATAATCAATTTTTCAGAACACCGATGGTAACAGAATGAAGAGTTTTGTAAAAGGCACAGATCTAATATTTTGAAGAGTCCAACCGACGGTCGATAACATCAAAAAAGCTTCGGAAAAATTATAAATACCAGAATGTCAATTTCTTATTAGCGGGGAAGACAAAACAATACGTTATAATCAACCTTGAGAAATACAGTGATAACAATGGGATAAAGCTGGAAGAAAATTTCACAAACTTTACCTGACGATTTGATTTTCACTGACAAAAGTTTGTGAAGATCAAATTGTTGAGTGTAGTTCGTGAAATTACTATGGATCTTCATCAAGTACCGGCTTAGTCAATCATAAAAAAACTGGAAGAAGATTTTACTGCATGAAATCTGTAAATAATAAAACTCATAACTGAAAATCTGATTGATAACGAATCCAATACGTTTTAAATGTAATCTTTCCAAATAGTACTTTTTTGTGAAGATCATATTATATTTGCATTCGAAATCTGGGGACCGCAGTATTTATTCTGCGATCTTGTTTGCATAGTAGAACGGCAAAAAATTCAGTAACATGACCAATTTGTACCTGTGCACCAGTATGTGATGAGGTAACCACCGTCAGAGGTAGTGAAACTCATAAAGGACCAAACTGCACCGAGGAGAGATAGAAACACACATTTCAACCTTCACCCTCCACTTGCCATGGACAAAACAAATAAGGTAAATATATATTGCCGCGAATCTGACGTTCTATGACTTAGAATCGTATCCTGGACTAATATACTGTGGTTCATTTGACTGGGTTGCGCACGAGATAACCTTCCCACGTTCAATAGAAAGCGATCTCATGCACGATAAATCATAATGAAATGATTTCTAAAACACGAGCCCTTAGTCGAAGTGAGAGATAAAAACCTGCTAGGAGATTGTAAAGATCGATAGTATGGACATTGAAGGAAGTGACTTGCAAATTTGTTCCGACACCTGGACGCTTGGAGAGGCGCCCTCTATTCTAATGGGCGTCCCTATCAGCTGCCAACCATTATATACGATGATTCCGCATTTTGGGTCAGAACGCACGTTGAACATTGTTCTTTTCAATTCACTAATTACTATTGAAACGGTCAGGACTATAATGAAAAGATAAACCTCATCGTTATTTTTACAGCCACATGCAAAGGTCGCTGGGAATTAATTCATTCATTTTCCTTTGCTTGACACGAATATTCGTATTTGGTGTTTTATCTCATGAAAGATCAGGGAGATTGGTGACAGGATCAAGTCCAACATGGGAAGAACAAGGAAACAGAAATGAATCAGACAAGATGAATTGAAAAAATATCGAAAAAGATGAAAAGTTGACTTTAAAAAACTATATACATGAATGTCAATCAATACTAGCACAATAGTTTTGGTTCATTGAAATTCTGTGAATAACACAGCGAATAGACATAGAATATAATTTTTGAATACACTAATGAACTAACAACAAGCTGTTGCATACGTTAAATTTTGCTGACATGACATATGAAATAGATTGAAACAAATAGAACAATCCAGAAGGTAACAAATAACAAATAATGTAAAAAGTACATTGAACCATTGTAAGTATTCGAAATACCTAGACGTTATCAATTGTCAAAGGAAAGTCTCAGTTGAAAGACCCTTTATATTGAGGCCCCAGAGAATCAAAGTAAGTTTGATTCAAAGGTGAATGCTATATGGAACTGAAGATTTCCCTAGTTGTGGTAATGCCCTTCAATAATATCAATTTCAGCCAAAGTTAGGATTTGATATTTTTTGAAGTGATCCCAACAAGTTTACATCCGGTTTCGATGCTGTACCTCATTTTTCCATCGAAAAAGAGTTGGTGTGGGTGAAAGTGGAGATACATTTATTTCAATTCGGAATGGAAGATAGATAAAAGAAATTAGAATTGAACAAAGTTTTGTAAATTCATGCAAACAATATATACATATCGGTTCTGAATCAGAAAATGAGGAATAAAAGAGGTTATATGAAAATAGAAAAAGACCAACTGGTTATGAGAACTTATTAGGCTAATATAACTAGAGGAAGAAAAACAAACGTCAAGGAAAAATATATTAGATGCAGAAACGGAAGAAAGACGATAAGACAACGATTCTGACAATTGAAGAAGCCACGTTGAAGGATTAAAGTGAATGAAAAGTAATGATTCAACTGTGAATTAACTTATTTATCAATCATTTGCTTATCTGATAACTAAATCAATCGACTCCATCCTTCATTGGAACTGATGTAACCCCGCAGATAATTTATGTATCATATAATTTTTATAATATATTCCTCTGTTAATAATCTCGTTAGACTAACATTCACATGTTACGGTCAAGCCAATGTTTATATTGGTGTAGTTCATAAATTATGTATATCAGTACGACACCGCTTAATTGTGATATACGCTGTATAGTCGAACGGTCACGGGCTGATATTAACGTTCATTTACATGTTAATAAATTCTTGTATACAACCGGAGTTGTCACTGTACTAATAGAAAAATAGTACCGTTAGATTGGTGATGCCATGGAGGGAGTTATATTTCAATACAAAAATGGAGTTATGATGAGCATTTTCAATTTCAATAAATCCATCTACCTCAGATCGGGGATTTTAGGAGAACAGGAAACTTGGCACCAACATTTAGTCTTACCAATATCTCAGAAGCTTCATTTCAATGGTAGAAAAGTATTTTATGTGTTAATTATATCGAGTTCTTTGGATAGCGTATACCAAGTGTATGCCAAAATACTTGCTCTCCTCAGGAGTAGTGCCAAACCAAAACTACAGTCGTGCAAACTGATATTACAAAATCGACGTATAATCTATGTATATTTTATTTGGACAGCAAAAATTATAACAAATCACGTTAAGTAAGTAACAAACTAGTTCTACAAACAAAAATAATCTAGCTAATTGATCCTACCTCACCCCAAGGTTAGTAGTGAAACAAAGACATCCTCAATGTGCGACTGGAACTCAACCACTTACCCATGGCGTCTGAAACAAAAGATAAACGTTAATTGAAACTACTCAATAAAATTTAAACGTGTACAAGTAAACAATACGTATTTTTGGGAGAAAATGTTTTGGCTTTGTACTTCCACATCATTTAACAAAAATGCTGGAAACTTAGAAGAAAAGGAAGAAATAAAATGAATAGTTGGTTTGTGACTTTCACATGAAAGAGAATTAACAGTTTTCTCATTGCCATCAAAAAGAGGTAGAAAGGCAAATACATTTTTATCAAAAATCTAAATTTCCCCTCCCTAAATATTACCTCTTCAATTTCAACAATATGATATTCAATATTTGCTAGTAAGAGATTAGCGAGGTGTTCCTCATTGGGTGGTCAGTAAATATTTTAATGCTTTTTCCCAAATGGAACTAAAGAAATGGAAAATTATGAATAACCAATGTAGGGGCGGATTCAGCAATCTGTTTGATATGCAGGGGTACTCCATCAAGAAGTCCCACTGAGTCCCTGCGGAACACAAGGTTACGTAGAATCAATAAAAATATCCCACGATCAATTATATCAAAGACACCGTAGATATGTATCACAATAATCCCGTATATTTCGTTACGACCTGACTGTCAACGGTAACAACAGTCAAGGATGACAAACTACTGAGACATAAGTTTCAGGAGGCGTTATTGACTGGCGAAAAGACGAATTAAGGCAATATCGTCCTCATCGGAATTAATCTAGCTAGCGCGACGTAATCAGGGGCTATTATCGCCCCGGTATTTGGTTAAAAAAGCAATAGCCGCCCCACAATCATCTCGTAATGGCCCATCTTCGCTTCCTTGATCAACACATAACAATTGCGAACCCTCCTCGCGTTGCATAATTTCAGAAGTGGGATTTTCAGCAGTGGGATTACTTCCTCGACCGACGGGCTGCAGTTTGGTTTAATTAACGTTTGCCACCTACAAGGCGAGGAAACGGTTTTCTCGGACCAGCTGGCTGTTTCTCTGGTAGAGTGCATGTCCAGAACACATAACGTGATGCTATTGCTATCACACCCTGTCCAACCCCTGACTAAGTGCAGGGCCGGACACCGGGGGCACGCAAACGCGAGTTATTTATGTCTTTGGTCGGTTGAGGCGGTATATACCTGCTGAAATGTTTCGTGATCGATCTAGACTGACAAAGTTATCGCCTAGATACAGATCGGAGTACACACAACGTGAAAATGTTGGTTCAGTCGGCGAATATGATGGATTACTTTCTGGGTCTAGAGGGAGTTGTGGTCACACTTTCTTCATCGGTCTGCGAATGAGAATTTATGTGCTAGAACTCACGTGGGTGTTGAAATAGAATGATGATGAGTTTGAGGCGCAAGTTTAGTCGAATTGTGAATTATCGTTCAGTTTTAATGTCTTCGTGAACGTTTTCAAGAATATCTTATGTATGATTGATTCATTGAGCTAACCTCAGCTCAGCAACCTCAATGAGGTTGCTGAGCAATTTGAACTATTTTCGCTGGCCTATACTGTGGGTTTCGTGTGGATCAAATCAGGAATATAAAAATATAAAAAAAACATTCGGTGGGGTTTCTTTGAAGTAGACATTCAAGGTGATATAATAATTATTAGGAATAATTTGTTATTATTCATGATGACTAAAATATAAGATTTCTATCATTACAAAAAATCACTTCGATTTATTTCTTTTTCTTCAATCAGTATGATGGACATATTATTAGAAGACTATTTATACATACATACCAGGAGGCAACAGAAGAAGAGGAAAAGAAGGCAATTTGCTAGTCAAACAATAACAAAACGTATCTTGGAACCTATGAATATTACCATAGTCTCTACTTCCAGCTAGATGGCGTTCTTGAAAAGTTCAAATATCTATAGAATCAATCATTTCACCCCCAGTGATATGAAACATCTGGATAAGAGATACCAACGAAAGATAACATAGTGAATCAATCATGTATGAATATTATACTTCGATATCTTTCATCAGGAAATTAAGGGACACTTCATATGTCTCACTCATTTTTGGAATGATATGACAGACATTCTTGAAATGTTCTGACCATTCAATGAACATTTTGATGCTATTTTCTGGCTGAACGCTAAGAAACTTTTTTCAATTTGGTCAATTTTTCATAAATCTTGTGTTTATCGTCTCCAAGTATTGTTAACCATCGGCGGTTCATAATATTCGAAAACAACAAATACAGTAAACTGTTAGTGTAAAAACCTCACTGAATACATGTGGCTTTTTCACAAGGACTTGGTAACCTTGAATTTTAAGGAAAACTGCAGGAATTCGATTTGACTGTTAGTTTAATTGAATTTGTAGGACACTGTGTAATTACCACAGTAAGTCACGTTCTGCTATGCACATATAGTTTTTCATTTGTACGTCATTCCGGCTATTTATAATTTCCACATAACCTTTTTAGTACTGGCACTTCACTTTGAGTTCGGCTTGAAAAAACTAATGACTTCGAGGCAATATTATTTCAAATTCCTCACTTAAATATTTAATTATGGGTCGATAATGCTGGTCTTAAAACGAGTTCAAATAGCTCGCTCGCTGAATAAAAAGCGTTCTCTTCTTGTAATACAAATTCGAACGTTTTACTACCGACACACCCACTTCAGGTAGTACTCATTAATTTTTTGCCTGCTCGATGCTTCGCTCATTGACCGTACGAATGCATTATTTTGATGAGTCCGTCTAAGGGTGACTGTATTTTCCACTGGTACTGTGATACAATTAAAATTGTTTAGCAGGACGAAACAGGATGCTGGTTATTTGAACTGTGACGACTGTCACAAAAATATATTGGTCAGACTCGTTTCAAAGAACACGCAGCACATTTTTGGAGAACAAACAAATCTCGCCACGTCAACAATGTCATAGAATGAATGAAAACTGTCTAAAATTGTTGAGATCGACACAAGCTACTAGATTATTGGATTCTTTCGACCATCCGAAGACGGGATGGTCAGTCACTGAAATGAAAATGTTTCATTATTAACATTCTGGTCGATTCATAGTAAGTGTTTAGAGTAAAAAAAAATCCCGTCTGTCATCCGCAAGACTTTGGAATCCTTCGACATCAGCGTCGATCTTGTCTAGTATTTCAGTAGTCAACTTTCAATTCTTCGTCAATAAAAACGTCCTCCCTATCGAAACCTCTCATCAAAATCAGTTTAACCCATCGTCAAGTGTCCTAGCGTGCCGACAACATCACTCCGGATGAGTTGAAGAGGTCATTCCGGAGCTATCTTACGGTTTGGTCCGTAAAAGACAAGATACGGCGTGCAGGATTTGCGGTAAAGGCCCAATAACGAGCGGGATATAAACTTTATAGCACATTGCACATTCGACACCGTTTACCTCAATAAAATAGTCCTGTGCTCGTCCCCCGTTAGGCGGCGCTTCGATCGTCGCCCTCGATTGTGATTTGCTCTTAATCGCATTCAGATTCAATGGGGTGGAAAATTTGATTTCGGTCGGTACGGCAGAGTGCCGACACCAGAATTTGCATAATCGTTCTGCGCTCGACGTCACTTGGACTAATTAAAAATGTATGGCACGCCGCGTCCTTTTTGCATGGTAGGATTCGATGAGATTCCCTCAGGTCTGCTATTGTCGCCCAGTAGAAATTGGACTTCAGAACCACCATCGATGAAGAGTGGCGTGATGCTGTGCGAATCCATTGCTGGTGTTTTCTCATATCTTGAAGGAATCATCTCTCTCATACTATTCATCACCACCTTTTTCACCATTTGAACAGAAAACTACATCTCTACTCATTTATTAATTCAGAGAGTAATATAGACCAGCCAATTATTAATTAATTTCGCTTTCCTTCCATTAAGAATACTTTTTCTATCTTGGAAAATGCCCAAAAAACTACTTTCTTATATATATTCATTCTGATTCAAAGAAAAAATCTCATGAAAGAATCTGCCAGATGAAAAATACATACATGAATGAGAAAGAAAGGTTTCGGCTTTTTACTTCCCATCTTTATACAAAAAAATGTGGGAATCCTCGAAAGTGAAGAAGGAAGCAATCAATTCCAAAGAAATGCAGGAAAGATTTTTTTCTCTGTGAATGAAAAGAACATCGAAAAGGATTTTTTCCAAACAAAAATCACAACGCAATTGCAATTGGCTTAAGTTCAGCGAACTCTCCTATTAATTAACACCATACAACTGAGCTTATCACTCTGTCACTAGAAAACCATGTGCTCAAAAGTCAGATAACATCTACCAAGCACCACATTCCATCAAATTAAAACCATTCGATCAGAAGTCGTATGCAAATAATGTGAAATAGCTTTGTCGGGCCCTATACACAGCAAATCTCACGGAAAATTTTATTACCTCTGGAAAGCATTCAGTAAAGGCTCCTGCACATTTAGAATCCATTAGTTACAACCCAGCAGACGGCGTAGGTTTATGAACCATGATGAAATATTGGGAAAAGTCACAAGCTGAGATTCATGGCTAAAAAAGAACCCAAGAAAATAATTATAATATTATGTGGTATCCGTATTATCAGAGAGTATCAAAACCTACACACATAGTGGACGAAATAATTTGCAAGTGCAAATGCGAAAAATTGGATGTTGATAGTATTCGTAATAAGAAATCCTCACAAACACTTAATGTTAAATGAATATAATATGGTTGAACGCCTGTCGAAATACAAGATGTAACATATGTATATCATTGGTTGATACTATTTCACTTACGCTCCTACTACCTAGATTCGGGGAAGTGTTTTCATGATAAAAAATGGATTTATTATTTTCTTCGTTTCCCATACATCAAGTTGGTTTTCATATCACTTATTTCCTTGAAAAAGGATTTTTCTATCGTAGAACACGCATTGTGACTCTAGCATTGCAAACTGCGACTGATTTTTCCGTGAAACATGATGGAGCCCTTGGAATTGATTTTATTTCATGGAATATAGTTAGTCTGTATCATATGATTTTCGTTGAAAAAAATCA